TACTCCGGCTTCCTCCCACAGTCCAAAGACTTGCAGGTTGGGAATAGGTTAATTGATAACTCTAAATTGCCCATAGGTGTGAATGTGAGTGTGAATGGTTGTCTGTCTCTACATGTCAGCCCTGCGATAGCCTTGCAACCTGACCAGGGTGTACCCTGCCTCTCGCCCAATGTCAGCTGAGATAGACTCCCACCCCCCGCGAACCTCAAGAGGATGAAGCGGTTAGAAGATGGATGGATGAATGTATATAACAATGCTGACAAGTAAATGTCCATCCAGTGGCTGTACCAGCAGCCAGAGTTGATCCTAACTCTAATGTAGGTTAGGGTTGTTTTTGGTGAGGCATCAGTGTTTTTCTCAGATAAAAATTAAATATCAGCCTATACAATGACTTTTCAGACCATTAGTCGACTGAAAGATGCAGACAGACAACTAGTGTGTGGTCATTGGAGAAATTGATAGGTAACAGAAACAAAATGTTCTCCACTAGGGAAATCAAACATCCCTTTGCTTTTATAGAAAGAATATGGTGTGAGTTTCTTCAAATTACAGTATATTTGTGATTTATAACAATGTACAGTATTTTTGTGTCAGCATTAAGTGCATTGTGTACTGTTACATACTGAGAACATTTCTAAATCAACCAGTCACAATGGATTCAGATTTCAATAACAAGTGTCATTTACCAGTTGTCAGATTTACATGAAGGAGAAAAAACAGACTGAAAACAGGCTGGTAATCTTAAAAAGTTGGTGGACTGCAGATGCTGCAGCAATGATCATATTTTATCAGGATTTGGCTCAGGCTTGTAACTCTCAATATCTCAAGACTGTGCAGCAGAAGCCAAAGATATTAAGTCTGAAGCTCAAGGACAGTTTTTATACAAGTCTGTGGCCCTGGCTCAGCTGAGAGAGATTGGGCTGGTCCAGAACACTGAAACTGAAATGACTCTGCAACATTCATACAGCACAAGCTAAGATGTGGCTTTTAATTGAGACAATATGATATATAATATGATATGTCTTGGGTCAGTATTTTAGTTTCAGTCTGTACTGATGTTAGTACACAGAAAAATCTGTGCCATATCTTTTTCACATGCTGTTAAAAACAAGTCATGGAAGCTTTTCCATCTTTTGTTCTGATTATATGTCCTCATTATTATGACCTAGATTGAAATTAGGAGTAAGTCATAATAAGGGCTTTGTATCTTATATTTAAGAAAAAGTAAAGTATCTAGTTTCATGTTAGCTTATAATTATTTCTTAGTTCATTATTTAGTCCAACTGTAAAACATATTCAAAAGGCAGTGGGCAGTCATATTGGAAACAAAAACATTATAAGCGCTGCAGCAGGTCTGTGTCGTGTTGTACTGTGTACTGTTTACTGTGGGTGTCTATGTCTTTGACTGCCTGCTAATTGTTTTCTTTTTTTCTGTTAATGTTTTGTTGTGTATGTCAAATTTAGTACCCACAATGCAAACCAATTTCCCTCTGGGGGTTAATCAAACATCAAAGTCTGCATTTACTGGGGGCAGTGCAACAAGCTGTCGATGCTACAATAATTTAATATCTATAAAGATTAATATGTTGTTAACAAACTACACTGCTTATTTGCACATTCAGCAGACATGGAGCAACATTAGCATTCATTTGGACTCATGTTTCTGGCCACCTTATGAATACAATATTCATTATGAATGCTCCACCATCCTCACTAGCTAGGCACTAAGTTTATCCACAGCTTGGTACATGCTGCAGCAGGTTTTCCCCAGGTTCTCCGGATTCCTTCTACACTGCAGAACTTACAATGAGGTGTGATCAGGTGCATTGTTTGTGTATTGATATATTTTCGCAACAGAAAGCAACTGCACTGGTGACCAACAAAATCCTGATCTTCAGTCAAAATGGCACAGTATTTTCCTATTCTTTAAGGGGTGCTTTATTCAGATACTAAGACGCACCTACATAGGTCATTTCACAAGACGTGTACACTCTGCTTGTGACAAAGAACTGCAGAGCTGCTATCTGACTCTCCATTAGAGAGATTGTGCACTTTTACACACAAGAGCAGCGTAACTTCATTGATTATTGTAGGAGCTTAAAGTTTAGTTCTGTTTCCTCTGTCAAGTTTATTACTACAGTTTTTAGGTTTGGTGCTTAAATGCTGCACGATATTTGCTGCAGTGACATTACTGCTCTGACTGCATTAGGGCCCGTTCACACACGAGAAATTAACACTGCTGAACATTCACCTTCCATTTGCTGCTATTCAGTGCGAGTGAAGGGGTGGACAACAATATTTGCTTCTGGTGGTGAAGCAAATGTACATCTTGCCATCACCTGGAGTTTAACTTAGGGTGACCAGACGTCCCCGATTTCCGGGGACAGCCCCCGATTTGGGTGACCTGTCCCTGGTAAAAGCTGTCCCCGAAAATGTCCCCGATTTTGACATTGAATGGGGGAAAAATGTGCGCAGACTCAAACACCAGTTATTACGGTAGTCAGTAAATGCATCGCCGACGCAAGACGTCATATGATGTACAGACGTTATCAGGAAGCACGACCAGATGCAGCAGCATCAACAACAACAATCTAGAGGTGGTAAAAAGGAGAGAAGAGGAGACCAGCGGCCGCGTTAAATGGTATGTTGTGTATGAACTTATTTATTTTGTGTGAGCTGGTAGTAGACTTGACTGTGTGTGTGTGTGTGTGTGTGTGTGTGTGTGTGAAGTGAGGTGAAGTAGGCTAAGTATGATTGTAACATGCAGTGCGTCTGTTTAATCTGAACTGAAGACCTAACGTAACGTTATAAAAGTCAGTGAACGTTAAAGGGGCAAAAAGCGAAATCGTTTCACCGCTAGGTTTGCTGTTGTGCACTGCCTGTAGACCAAAACAAAGTGCGAGCCTGGCGGGCAGCCCGCTAGGCTAAAACATCGCTCTCACTCACGGAAAAGAGTAGGAACGTTAGCGTTAGCTCCCGGTGTTAGCGCTAGCCAGGATCCGGCAATGGCTCTAGCCAAGTGGCCTAGAGCCCCCCAGGCTGCCTGCCTGGCTCGCGGGCTGCTCAAGTTCCGGACATTAACCCATCCCGGTGTTGCCTCCGCAGCCTCCACTTCACCCAGCTTCACTCAGCTGCCCGATAAACCTGCTGCTTCTTCCCACTTTAACCTGAAGCAATGTTTTAGCCTGGCGGGCAGCTTGCTTGTGGGCTGCCCGCTAGGCTAAAACATCGCTCTCACTCACGGAGAAGAGTAGGAACGTTAGCGTTAGCTCCCGGTGTTAGCGCTAGCCGGGATCCGGCGATGGCTCTAGCCAAGTGGCCTAGAGCCCACCAGGCTGCCCGCCCAGGATTCACATGAACAAGGGGCTGGAGATCAACACAGAGAGAGGGTGTGTGAGGTCATGCTATACTCCAGATGAAATTACACCTCTAGTTCTTCACATAGCAATTTTTTAATTCCTTCAATCTAGAAATGATGAATTTCGCTTATTGCTCCTTTAACATGATGTCACTGTTATTATCTCTGTCATTGGTGAAGCTGTAACGTAAGCGTGAGATTACCAGGTGATGACACTTGGCTCTGTTTTAGAAAAGGAGGAGGTGGAAGATTGCTTTGGTAGCATAGGATTTTCCTGGAGGCATAGGGACCTGAGACTGTCAGTTCAGTATTCAGTTATGAGTTGAAACCTTTGACCAAAAAAATCCATCCTAATTAAAGCTAACAAGATTAAGATATTTTTGTCTTCCTCAGTGGATGGATGGTTGGTGATGTCACTTATTTGTTTGATTGCAACCTTTTTCGTAATAAAAGCTGGTCAAAATACATGAAAAAGTAATTGTCCCCGTTTTTTATTTCATAATGATAATATTTAATGATTTTTCACTGCTGTACTGAAAATGTCCCCGATTTTCATCTCAGAAATCTGGTCAACTTAGTTTAACTTTAGCGAACTTTGACTGGGGAAGTCACAGTCCCAAGAGCAAAGAAGTATGTGTGGAGGAGATGTTATTGTTGATGTGTTTAACCAGCCAGAAAAGTACAAACTACCCGACATGAGAGATGCTGCCTTGGAGGCAGGCAGGAACTTTAAGAAAATGCAAAATGTACCAATAATGTCATATTACGCAGTATTTATTAGCAAGCTAGCTCGCTAACATTCATGTATGTATGTAACTGTACCCTTACTCTCAGCAGAAAACTATCCAAAACATATCCAATTTGCCGAAATTTGCCATGTAAATAGCAGCGCGCCAGGTACAGGTATACCCAGCTCCCAGGGAATGGGAGATGACACTTTGGCTGGTTGAATGTTACACCCAAAACACACCTATGATTAATCAATGAACTAAATCAATCCCCTTTGCTCCTTGTGCCTTATTTTGCTCCCATATTATGTGTCATGCACTTTTGACCATGCACTATAGATCATTTAAATATGGCCCAACAAGTCATAATGATAATAATAATAATCAAACAAAACAAAAACAGAGTGTTGATCATCTTTGGAACAAATTCATACAATTTTTATAAGGACACCGGACCCACTGTTGTGCTTACAGTGAAACCAATCATTAAAATAGTCATTCTTGTATAATTCTGATAATTGTGTGTGAATTTCACTAAACCCCTAAAAGACCTCTTAAGGTCTCCACACACCACTCTATTGATTGAAAATAACAATTTAAATATTTGGTGGTGACGTGGAGATGTACTAAACATGCTGGGGGAAATGATTCAAACATGCTGTTGGGAGACAATTGTGATCACCCCTGTTTACGTATGCACATCTTAAATGGGAGCTACTTCTTTGAGAAAACAGCTCACAGCCTTTTAACTAAGATAGAACTCCACATACAGCACAAATGAGCTACGGTGATGGGAAAAACACATCCACCCACATCCTCTCTTTTACACTGTGTTGTTGATTGTGCAATTGGTAAATGTTGCATCTTTAAGATCCTGCAAAATTATGGGCTCTGTCATCACCATGGTAACTTACAACTGGAAGAGGAGGATGCAGTTGAAGGCGTGGCTCATAGGCCGGGAGAGGAAGAGGTAGCCAAGCAGATGAAGGTTGGGCTGCAGGCTCTCAGCTTGATTGTGTAGAACTGTTGCATCCTGCTGTAGTAAACCTGTATCTGAAAGACAAAGACAGATGTAGGCTGTCAATACACTAAACCTGAAACTACTGCAAAGTCCTCCTACATCTCTGAAAATGTCATCCAGACTACAGATGATGAGAAAAGTAGGAAAATACTTGCATGCCATTTATTATAGTTATATATTCAAAACATGGTGTCCTTTTTGTTCAAACCAACAACAAAAATACACAATAAAACAAAATGAAATGCCATTTCCAATTTGACATAAATTAAAATAAATACTCAAATAAAACAAAACCTTTCAACACCCTTCTTTTCTTTCCTACTTGAAACATGCTGTTTTTATTCAATCTAGGCTCCTACTGCTGGCAAAGTATCAATAAGTGTACCACTTCAAAATTGAAAGTAAAAAAGTGCGGTCCGCGGTCCGTAAATAGGCGGCTCGTGGGCCGGATGCAGACCGCGGGCTGCCATTTGAGGGCCACTGATCTATACAATCAGCACAGTTTCAAGGTGGACACCCAAGAATAGTGTCACCAATTCAGTATACGACCTGTTCATCAGTTATGACGCTAAACAATGGCTGGAAAAGTGTTTTTGCAGAACATTATGATGTCACAGTGAAGTTGACCATTTACCTTTTGATATATATTGTCATCATGTCATCATTTTATCCTATTAGACATTTGTGTGAAATGATGTCATAATCTGCATATGAATTCTCGAGTCATACACAAAAACATGTTTTCCAGATCAGAGTGACCTTGACCTTTGACCAAATCTAATCAGTTCATTGAGTAGAAGCTGATGTTTGTGCCAAATTTGAAAATTTCCCCAAAGATGTTCTTGAGATATGGCATTAACAAAAATAATACATGAGTAAGTTGACAATGATCATGAACCTTGACCACCAAAATCTAATCAGTTCATCGTTGAGTCCAAGTCAAACTTCGTGCAAAACTTTAAGAAGTTCCCTAGAGGCAGTCTTGAAATACTGCGTTGAAGAGAGTGGGACAGACAAATGGACGGAGGGATGGACAATCCAAAAACATTACGCCTTCGGCAACAGCTACTGCTGTTGCTCAGCTCCACCATGTCATTCATTATTTTCACATACATTAACTGCATTATGTGTTGCTCTTTTAAAGAATCTTAAAGCTTCCTTAAACTGTCAACTTATCTGAACTTTAACAAGCTGTTGCAGCATGTTCTGCAGAGGGTCTGTTGCTGCTCTTCTTGGTTTGAGCTCCCGTGCATGCTCCATGGAGGGGGCGGAAACCATACAGCCAATCATAATTATACTGCCTGTTTATGGTGCTATAACTTTAATGTGAGTGTTCCTGGCAGAGTGTACATTATTAAACATGATAGTCAAAACAAGCATGTTAAATTAATGGCAATGCAGAAGTCCGTAATATAAGAGTAGGGCATTGAAAACACACACACACACACACACACACACACACACACACACACACACACACTGAAACACACCACCGTCACCATCTGTGCCACTGCTTGAGTTTAAATAAAAGAAGGTGCCAGTCCTTGACACCAGCAACTGCTCAGAATGCACATGCAACTTTAATGGGTAAGAGGTGTTACTGTCTTATTTAATTAGATAATGCTGTTTATACTAGTGGATACAAATTCTAATCTGGTGGTGGAAGAAAAATTCAGATCTTTTATGATAATCACAATTGTGTGACAAGTAAAAATGATATTGTTAAATACTGGATTGTATTTAATGTATCATATTTTATAAACTGACCAGATGTTTAGTTGTAAATTCTTTATCTACAAATTAACTAGTAACTGAATAGCTGTCGGAAAAAAATTGTAGTGGAGTTAAAAGTGCAATACTTCCCTTTAAAATACAGGTGTTCAGTACATGTACCCTACAAATGTATTTTCAAAGTGAACTGACTTCCGTGAGTCAACACTGTCACTGCACGAACCAGAAGCGTTTAGCAGTGCAGCTCCTCTCACTGGTAACTCAGAGCACCGCTGTCAGCTCAGCTGTGATTCACATTGCTTGTTAAAAGCCTATTTAAAGACAGAGAAAGCCAAAGAAATTAGAATTACCGCCTTGTGGTTGTATGCCTCACAAACCAGTCTAGTTGCAGTTACAGTTTACATTCATGTCTGTCCAGACTCATATTTAGCCGTGACAGTAGGCAATGCTTCAAATATGCATATTGCTGCAAAGAAGCTTCATACAGTGGCATGCAAACGTTTGGGCACCCCTGGTCAAAATTTTGTTTACTGTGAGTAGTTAAGTAAGTAGATGATTAGTTTTTTAGTTTCAGTCTTTTACAGTTTTAAAATAACAAAAAAAGGAAAAGGGCCTGAGGCAAAAGTGTGGGCACCCTGCATGGTCAGTAATTAGTAGTGCTCCCTTTGGCAAGTATCACAGCTTCTAAATGCTTTTTGTAACCAGCTCAGAGTCTTTCAGTTCTTGTTTGGGGGATTTTCACCCATTCTTCCTGCAAAGGGCTTCTAGCTCCGTGAGATACTTGGGCTGTCTTGCATGCACTGCTCTTTTGAGGTCTATCTACAGATTTCTAATGATGTTTAGGTTGAGACACTGTGGGGGCTATGGCTAACCCTTCAGCTCGCGCCTCTTGAGGTAGTCCATTGTGGATTTCAAGATGTGTTTAGGATCATTATCCTTTTGTAGAAGCCATCCTCTCTTCTTCTTCAGCTTTTTTTTTTACAGATGGTGTGATGTTTACTTACAGAATCTGCTGTAATTTATCTGAATCCATTCTTCCCTCTACCCGTGAAATGTTCCCTGTGCCACTGGCTGCAACACAAGCCCAAAGCATGATCGATCCATCCTTGTGTTTAACAGTTGGACGGGTGTTCTTTTCATGAAATTCTGCATCCTTTTTTTTCCAAACATACCTTTGCTCATTGTGTCCAAAAAGTTATATTTTAACTTCATCAGTCCACAAGACTTGTTTCCAAAAAGCATCGGGCTTATTCAGATGTTTCTTTGCAAACTTCTGACACTGAATTTTGTCAGTTTGCCAGCCAACATGCCTGACTGGCACTATCTGTTGTTGATCTAAGAACTATACAATGATGGTAGAAATTAGCTGACAGATGATTTTTAGGTCCATTGACTTTAAAGTAACGATCCCACTGAACTTGCTTTGAGTTGCTCTGTGGTACTAGTTAGAACTAGTAATTACACAACCAGTCAAACAATGATGTGGGCCCATGGGCTTAAGGCCAGACAAAATATGGCAAGGTACACAGACAACAAATTAGCCATTATACTCAGTGGCATAGTCCAAGCAGCTGACAAATGTAGACCTAAGAAACTACTGGTTTCACTAAATTGATAAATTTTCCTGTAGTCTACACTTGAGCAAATGTGACAAGTTTAAAAAAAAAAAAAAAAAAAAAAAAGGTTTTTAACACTTACCAATTATCCTGTCAAGGGAAAAGAATCAGAGTGAAGTTTAGAAAATAAGTAGCAGGTACTCTCTGACACATAGCCTGAAGAGCTATGTTGTGTTTGGTGAATAGGTCTAATGCCTGGTACACACTACGCGATATCAGCTCGATTCTAGACCAACGCAGTGACCTACAGTGTCGGGATGAATCGTGAACGACAATGAGTGTCGTACACGATAATCCATCATTTCATCTCATGTAGTGTGTCATAGTTAACAACAACCGAAGCCATGTCTTGAACGCCTCACAACGTTCCCACAGAAAATCTAGCATGTTTGATTTTCGTTTTGTCATTCACAACTGCTCTCGTCACAGCCGTCACTTTGACCAATAGTAACACAGAGTGGTCTGCTGCCGTAGACAACTGTATGAAAACACCCCAGGGTTTTAGATACATCCTCTAGGGATGTTACCACAACAGAGTATAAAAGGAAAAATTATGGCGTTAAACTGTAGAACCACTTTATCAACCCAGCCAATTGCATCAAGCCAGCAAACAATGTTACTTCTTTAAAATGGAGACAGACATAAAGTAAGAAAATACAAAAATAGTGGCGGGGCTTTTACTCACCACAACTGCAGAGGCTACCAGCTTAATTTTAAACAGACTACATTATAAATGGGCTGTTATTTATTAGTCCCTCCGTATTTTTATATCTTTACTTTTTATCTGCTCCCGTTTGCATAGGGTTAGGGTTAGGGTTAGGGTTAGGGCATTGCTTCAAACTCAACACTTCCTTATCTCTTTCAAATTAAAAGCCCCTTATAACTTCAGTTGAGAGAATCCCTTCATTTTCTAAATTCGCTTTTATCATGAAACATTTGCAGGAACTTGTTGTGGAGGATTCAGTGACTTGCATGTTTGCATACGGTACTTTAAATGTAGCTCCTGGCACATGAACAGACACAGTGACTGAAATAATAGTAAAACTAATAAAAACAGGAAAAGAATAATCTGATGACATCACACATGTCGTGAAAGACGACGAGGGATGATTGGTGTGGACCATCGTGTAGTGTGTCATGTTTGTTGGCCAAGTCACAGCACGATTTTATGACTCCACAATCGCATAATGTGACATAGTGACTGTCAGAACAGACAGAAATGTTGTGTAGTGTGTACCAGGTATAATTGTCTACTTTGTTTCCAATGCCTCTTCATGCACAACTGCACAATACGCTTCTGAGATACAGTAGGTGATTGTCACATCCAGTCTCTTATTTCACATATTTACATACTGGAGAATTTACTGCCTATGACCAACCATCTCCACACATACAGTACCACGAGAGGTCAGTCAGGGATTTAAAGCAATCAGAGCTACATGCTTAAAGCCTACGTCACACAACATGGCTTCCAAAGTCCTCAGATGGCTGTACTGTTCACACAACTTCCTGTCTTGTAAACAGGGGTCTTGAAGTAGGTGTGTTTTTCCCACTACATGACTGACCAGTGAAGGGAGTCACACACTACAAGATCTTTCACCAGGAGAAATCACCAATAATTCTTGTGATGTGCGGGTTAAACCACAACCCACGGTCAGGGGGCCCTAACTAGAAAAAATCAAAGTCAAAAATGGACAAAGTGTTGTTCAGACTAAGTTATTACGCAAATAACTTACAGAGACACTGAGTGCAACAGTAAACCTTCTCCTCCTCTCTCTCTTTCACTTTCTCTCTCTTCCTCTAAAAAACACACACCTTGCACAGCACTGCAGTGCTGCTTGTCTTCGTCCTCAACATGTCTCTCGCTCTCACTGGCTGTAGCTCATCAACAAAGTCCCCAACAGATACAGATATTTTGCCTGCTAGATATCTAGGGAGCATCTGAGATGCATCACCGAGCCTCTCAACTAATCTTTAAACAGTTCAACGCTGATATGTGAGCGCCAACCAACGCTGATTTGCTTCTGATCTTGGGCTTTTGTTGCAGAGCTCCAAAAACTGTCAGCATGAGGAAAATCAGGCACAAGGCACTTTATGACTGATGAATGTGTTCCATGATTGCCATAATTCTCAATTAACATATCTACAGCCATTATCTGTCAGAATTTTCATTCAAGGCAGCACGGGGAAGAAATGTTATCAACTGTACCAACCAAGCATTTATTCTTTCTTTATTCTTTATTGAGGATCCTCATTAGCTGATACCACAGTAAAGACTACTCTTCCAGGGGTCCACAGAAAATGCAAAATACAAGATATTAAATTATCACAGCATAGATAATTTACAACATCAACAAAATAAATAAAACAAAAACAACAGACAGCAGTAGTCATGTCTGATGTGTCTCCACATCAGTAGATCATCAAAGCAAACCAATAGAACCATTAAACTAGGCACATAGAATTCTAGAAGAATGTTATAGAAGTATATGTGCACATACAAAGAATCTGACTCTGGTATCTTGTTGCTGTTAATGTTAATACACAGACACACAGCTGAAAACAAGGACAAGATCAAGTTATGAGTGCCATTTGTGAATATGTGAAACATGGGTTTTTTTTCTCCACATGAACCTGCTTTCAGAAGTGTGACGAGAGAATTTGGCACTTTATTAGCAAATAATAGGCTCAGCCTGAAATAAGCCTCATCACGAATCCACCACCAATAATCATGCCTGAAAGGTTTTCTGCATATTGTCTGATATCCCTGTGGGTCTGAAAGTGTAAATACATCTGTTAGTGTTTGGCCACATGACGCTTGTAATGGAGATGATAAAAACAGACAGGTGTGTAGTTGTGTGTGTGTGTGTGTGTGTGTGTGTAGGGGGGATTAAACCTTGACAATTGAATATTAAAATAGTAGCTGGCTATTTTTCTTCAGCAGATCTTTTCCCATTGAGGGGAAAAACATCTTTTGTTATTCAGTGTATAAAAGATGGCTTTGTCATGCTGGTTGCTCATCCAAACCAAGGGCAAGGACTAGCAACACTGGTGCATGCACACATACTAATACACATATGATAAATGTGTGCCTTTGGTGACTATGTAATGCAGCTGGAGACAAAGGGCCACTGGACAGAGGAGTTATTGAACCCAACCACACATTCACAGTCTCTGCATATGAAGTCTAATGTTGCATGGATATAATAACAATGCTAGGATTTCATTTCTGTCCAAAGGGTTCAAGTACATGAAACAGCTTAACACCAAATCGTATTTGAGGCGTGATAATTACTGAATTGTACTGCCAAAATGCAAAATCACTGAGGGAAAAAAAACATACCCACGATGCTCTTAAGTTAGATAGCAGCATTTTCAAATTTTCGAATAATGGCTGTGACAGACAAATAAAGGCCAGCTGCTAATAAAGGCTGTACAGTTGTATGCCTCAGTGAACCAGTCAAGTTGCTCTTACAGTTTACATCCATTTCTGTAAAAACATGAATGCTTCATTAAATCTTCAACCCGACACCACAGAGGATCTATACAATCAGTACAGTTTCCATGAAATTCCAATTAGTGCATTCTTGAGTCTATGTGGACGTTTGTGCCAAATTTGTGGTTCCCTCAAAGTGTTCTTGAGATATGTCCAACAGAATGAGACGAAGGTAAGGTCACAGTGACCTTGACCTTTGACCACCACTTCTAATCAGTTCATCGTTGAGTCCAAGTGGACATCTGTGCCAAATTTGAAGACATGACTGTTCTTGAGATATCACATTCAGGAGAATGGGACAAACTGACAACCAGAGAGCAAAATGCTGTTGGCCACATCTGTCGCCAGTGCGAAGGGCATTAACACAGCAATTACTGAAAATTTTGAATCAACACCACCACTGTGGTGAGAATGACATGACTACATTGTTGTACTGATTTAGTGCTGTGGATGTTTTTTCCTAAATTTATCAAGATAACAAGTAAAAAAGAAGAACTGTGTTTTTATTACAGCTGCTATATCAAATTAAAAAAAAGAGAGGACTCTTACTAAAAGATGATAATACACACATGAAACAGACATTGCGAATAACAAGTATTCTCCCCCTAGTTAATGTTTCAGAAATTACTTTTACAAATTAGGCTTTAGTGTGTGTATCTCGCCAACAGAGATCAGTTTGATTAATATCTCACTATACAATCAGTGATCCGAAACATCTAGTTAACAGATCGATATAATTCAAATCAGCCCTGTCCTGATGCAGCAGGTTATGGTGCAATATGATGTAATTCAATACTGTGTGTTGCAATAGTGTGGACATTTGCACTGTAACTTGATGAATCTTATAGTTCTGAAACTGCTTGGAAGAAATAAATCCTGATACCTCTTCATCTACTGAGAGAAAACTGTGACCTTACAATTCAGAATCTCAATTTTGTAATACTCCCTAATTTCTAGATGATCCCTTTGTTAGATATTTTACCACAAGCATATACCATCATTCGGTATGTAATCTCTTCTTTTAAAAAGTTAAATCATTATAAATATAATAAGGGCATATGACATTTGTCAAAAACAACTGTTTGCATGTGAGCAGAGGTGTGTGATTCATCATACTGAAGGCTATTTGGATCAGTATTAAATAGTCAATAGTTGCCCTTAGTTACTCAAATCAGGGTTTGATTGCAACGTGACAGGAAGTCCAAGCAGGCCCTGATGAGTGGAAAAAGCAGACAAAGGCCTCAATCACACAGAAAAGGTTTTAGCAGTTGGAGGCAGCCTTTTGTAATTGTTTTTAATGAGAATGAAGCTTTTTGCTCACTGTTCTTGCATTTCTGTGCTCTTGATGCCTGGCATTTTTGCCAGAGTGCTTTGAGCTCGAGTTGAAAAAATTTCAACTCAGTGCGGAAAATGCCCCATGTCATCACTTTTTCCCATTGTCCAATTGGATGATTTGAGAGGTGGGCCTTCTGTGGTGGTCACAACAACAAGTTTACAGTTGATAAACAATGGTGGAGAAACTGATGTTAGCAGTTGTTGGGTAACCAGAGCTATATGGCCTGATGATAGACAGCAGGTTGTCAAACTGTCTCCAAGTTATACAAAGAGTTATATAAAGTAAGTGTAGAAATGGTCATCATGGAGGCGAAGCTCCTGGACCAACTGGTGGTACTCCACTTGATCCAAGCTCTTTTTTAGGGTCTCACGTACCCAGATCTCTATTTCCCTGTGCTATTTGTTGACAGCCTCCCACCCTCAACCAGAGGTACAGCAAGTAGCCTCTGTCTGTCCATTTTAGGAACTAGCTACTAACTACTGATTAGTGAAATAAATAAAATAAAAACATAAATAAATAAACAGTAGATTGATAACATGGGAAGGTTAGGGTAAGGAGGTCATGGAGTGGTTGCCTGGCAACAACAAAAAGGCGCAGAAAGTGTATTTTTACTCGTGGCATTCAACGCAGTGCAGTGCACTTCACGTTTTGCAACCTGCAAAATGCTCTCTATGCAATCAGGGCCTAAGTTCAATTTCATTCTTAACACTAAACAGATGAATGGAATGACTTAAACATGACTTGTGCACCACAGTATTCTTTGTCATGTACTGCACTAATTCTAGCGAGTTATCTGGGTACTCCATGACTATTATATTATTCATATTAACAGAAAGATTTAATCTTAAAAAAAAATGTTTAAAGAATGGCGGGCAAATGAAAATGCAGAGGTACAAGTTTGTGCAACACCTTGAAAGCCAGCGAAAATATGCTGTGAGAAATGAAATGCATCATCCAGCAGGTTTTCGCTGGCAAATGAGCAGGGAGATCTGGGCGCTTGCGAGATGGAGGAAAGTTTAACACAGATCATTTACAGACCACTGTTATAATACGAAGGTGTTTCAAAAATAAGCAAAGAATGCCCTTAACAAAAAGTTAAGGGTTTTTTTACCTGCTTCTGCATTTTCACCATCATCTTCCTCCTCTTCCTCTGTGGGGGCTTGATCCTCCACACCCACCTGATCCATCACAATGCACTCTGCCACACCTGTCTAAGATCAAATTAATCCAAGTTATAATTAAAAAAATGTTCCCCTGTCAACATTTATCACCAAAATTCATGACACAGTATACTATAATAAATGTCATTTTAAGGGGAGCTTTACTTGGTGTGCAGATCTAGTTAGTTCTAGCTAGTTCCACTGTCCTGGACACATCTGCTGATGTCCTGGACACATCTGCTGTCCCAAGCTACAATACTTTGTATGGACAGCAATTTGGTCCAGTCAAAAGAAACAGGATGGCAAGTTTGGCTGTCATCCTCTTAATTTTCAGTCACTTAACATCTCCATAAATAAACTCCATCAGTGTCTTACATTGTCACTGAGGCTCCTCAGTGTATTCAAATAGGTTCTGCTTTCATCAGGTGTTGGGTGTCAAAGTCTGCGCTCAGGGTTACCAATAGAGCCTAACAAGTAAAAGGCATGCAGGTTATTTTTAGCTGCTTACCTTTAGAGATTCTAGCTGCATCACCTGACATTTCTGAAGAAGTTCCACAAACAAGTAGATAAGCAAGGCCTGCATAACAGAGGGTAGAAAATATATTTTTAGTTCTTGAAATGGGTGTAGTAAGTTCATGACATTGCATGATGTAGCCTCAGAGACAGACAAATCTGTGAGCTCATGTTTTATTCGCTCTTGCCGATGCGTCTGGTCCCCCTTCTGTTCAAACGGGTACATTCAATCTGAAAACAGTGTGCACTGTTTTGCTTTGGTTTCCAGGTTGAACGACATGTTTTCTTAAAATGGTGTTAAACAGTGTGCAACGTGCTTTGAGATACGATTTCTCTCATTTTGTGGGTGTGTCCTAGGTGTAGCAACGTTTATATAAATAAATAAATATGAATGAATTTAGGTTGTGACGTTAGGTGACCAAAATTCTATGTCAGGACGTCAAATGTCAGCGTCAACGAGGTGAAATTTTGTTTGTTTTTAGTTGCGTTGTTGGGTCACCAAAATGTAACATGTTCCAAACATCTCATCATAACCTCATCTTGATTTAGAGTAACAACATTCAGTCTTAAGTTATTAAGAACAAAACCCAATGTCTACAAAACTTCATAAAATTAACATCCACACAACGTGGAATTGCAGCGCTATTGGACATTTAAAATATCGTCAACCCCATTTTCATTCCAACCAAAATTTCTGACATCATACTGACGTCCAGTGCAAGCTGGGCAAATTGTTTTTCAACACCAAAAATGCTCCTTTGAATTGAATTAAACTACATATTAAAAGGCATTGTGCTTGCGTAACACAACAGGCTGTTCAACCTACTGCAGTTTCTCTTTAAATAAACATCACACTACATTTTGTCGGGGCTGAACGCAACCAAGATTTCCAGCATCCCTGTCCTGCTTCAGGCCAGTCACAACAAATATACAATAACCTGTGGTAAGATACGATAAGATAACCTGTGCCATGTCTGGAAAGTGGGTTAGAGCACGCGGTGGTGACAAAATGCTTTAACACTATCCCCGCCATTGATGAGATTTTCTGTCATTTATGACAGAATGCTGTCCTGCCACTGACGAGGTATTCTGGCAATCCACTTTTCACTGTTATAAGACAGGGGACACTGTTACACATCTTGTGAAATAGAACAACACTGCTGTGTCAAAAAACCAGAAGAAGATGTTGTTTACAGAAATGTAGCAGCTTGTAAACCACATGAAAATGCGGGGCTGATGGAAAAATTTATGGTTGCCCTGGAGATGTTGATGGACTCAGAACTTCTGAATCCGATTTGGACAAAGAAGCAAACGAGTTTGGTGGGATGAAACAGGATCACCATGAAGGTGATCATGACACACAGACAAGACGACCACAGAGGAGAGGGAGACAGCAGAACACTGAACAATCACTGAAAGTGGCAAGGTGTTCCGCTAAACTTCAAACAGACTATTATCATTATTATTATTATTACTTTCATTTATACAATTCAAACTGACATAAGGAAATCTGAAAAAACGAAAAATATAAATGTGAAATTGATTTTGTACTTGAAAATGAGTTTTTTGTCCGAAATGTTTTTTTTTTTTTGTTTTTTTTTGAAAATGCACAAATTTGTGTTGATAAAAAAAGGAATGGAATAAGATAGAATAAAATGGGTTTTTTTTTGGTTTAAAAACACAAGGTCTCTTCTTTAGTTTCATGAACTGTTCACATATTCATAGAACAAAATATTTTGTGGCTCATGAAAGATTAGTGAATATGATTGAAAATGCTGGCGGTGGCTGGCAACTTTAAAGTAATACTCTGGCAGGGAAAGTGTTGACTATAGAGTTGAATAAGTAACATTACTATTGTGCACTAGAACTATCATAGGCTGTATACAACATTGATTGATTTGACATCTAAACCAACCAGCTCTTAGATCAAGCTGTTTTTGCATGTCGTCACAGTCAGGATCAAGTGGGACAGATATCTAAGCAGAATGCATTGTGAGTCGATTGCCAGTGACTGATCCTACGCGGGCCTGGCTCACCTCGGCCCCTTCCCGTTGGTTGGTTGATTGGTTCATTGTTTTGACTGACCAGATTTTCATCGGTTGGAAAATCACTAGTGTGACTTTGATAAGGACATGTGTCCATCACAGCATTTTTTTTTCCCAGCTGAAAATGCCAGCTGTTGTTGTCAGTACTTTCAACATGTATGTCAAGGTAAGTCTTTGTGGTATTTGTCCTGCCTCCTCTCTTCTGTGATTGAACAGCTGGGTAAAAAGTGACAGTGACCAGTGTTTTACCAAAAGCGATTTTTCTCATCAGTCTTGTTCAATGCTTAGGCTTGAGAAGGACTCACGAACTCAGCTCCTGGAAAAGCTTTGCTTCAGAGTTAGAGCAAGAAGTTTTTTTTCAGTTAACATTACATTAGATATCACATTTAGTTTTTACCTGCCAATCAAACAATTGCATGAGGCATTCCACTTGTCCAAACACAGTTTACTTGACCAAAGCAAGTGTGAACATTGAGCCTCTTGACAGGAAAGATACGCTTTAGTAGACACACAATAGCCATGTTTTTACCAAACAAAACATGGCATGGTACCTTTGTAACCAAAAGTAACCCTTCAGACATGATACCTATACCCTAGGTCTGTTTAGCGTTTCCACCACAGTATAGATCAGAGATCATGTTTTCCCCCATCGACCAATCAATGGTTATAAAGTAGGTGGAATTTCAGTCGACCGAGATTTTCTTTGGCTGACCACAGCCCTACATATCTGAAGGCCTTGTAGGTTGAGCACTACAGGAGAAACATGTTGCAATCAGTTTTCTTTTTAATATAAAGTAGTGATCAGGGGCCATATTCACAAAGCTCCCTAATACAAAGAGTTGCTCCTTGTGACGAAATTCTAACAGAATCTTAGAATTGTGATGTTTTCTTCTTTCTTCCCCAAAAAGTTCAGACAAGGTCCTTGTAAAGATAAAAGTTATTCACCGAGCCTCTTAGACCTTAAAAGAGCTCCTAAGATGAAAATCTGTTAGTAGCAGGGAGGAGGACCTCTAAGAGGCCATTTTCTCCTGTGCTTAAAAACACTTTAAGCACAGGAGAAAATGGTGAAAACACAAAGAGGTCAGAGAAATGTTCTCCAAAAGCTGGATGACAGTGAATAAATGAAATGCTACCAATTAAATCATGCAGGGATAATATGTGTGGTTGATGCCATTAGAGATACACACTCATTTCCCTCCTAACACTATAACACCACAAATAAAATGATCACAATGCTAAGATATTTGGAAAACTGGAAAAATGCAACAGTGCAGCAGTGATCACACTGACAATGACAACACTTTTACAGCAGTTAATTTCATTTCCACTGGTTGTCCACACCTTGCAGACTCACAAAGGGGCGTGTCTGTGACAACCAATGACATCTGTTAAAATAATGCATCGTACCTAGCAATGGGGTCAGCCACACCTCCGTACTAAGGTAAAAGTTTCTGTTGCTTACTTGGTCAAAATTGCTTTCCTAAATCACTCTTAACCTGGGACTACTTACTAAAATATTTTAGGCTAAGTAAGGAACTCTCTGAGAGTGTTCTCAGAATGTTGAACATGTTGAATGTGAAACATACTAGGGGCCATAACAGGGCGAGGGGCTGTATTCATTTTTCCATCTTACAGGAGAACTTGAGTAATCTCACCTGTGTCATTTCTTTTTGTTAAAAGCCTTAGGCTGAGCTCTAGCAATCTTACATACTAGAAGTGAATTACATTAATATTTGTTATAATAGGTGCATCTGCTTGTGATGATTCCTAAGGGTCTAACTGATCAGACTGATTTGTGCTCATTTCACACTATCTTTAATCTACACAGACCATGCCAGTCTTTACAGAAAATAAGAGTCCTAAGAAGCAATGTATCACTTACCTGGACAAAGAAGCCAACAAGAAAGGAGACAAGGAAAGGCACCAGTCCAGCATGGGCTATCGTTACTGGAAGACCTAGAAATAGAAATGATGTAGAACCATTTGTGAATCTGATCCCACTTCAGTAGTTCTGAAAGCATCTGTTTGACTCTTTGTCAGCGTATCTACCTGCCTGTCTATCACTGTCTCTGCTTATCTTTCTCGCTCATGGCACTCCTGTCCGCTCGGGCTCAAACTCACCATAAAACTTTATGGATAGTGCTGATTTCAATATGAGATTTAAGTGATTGAACAAGTATTAACTTGGAAGGGCCCCACCTTTGTGGAAGTACATGAAGACCCTGCTGAAAACAAAGTAGTTAAATGTAATGTCCCATGTAATTTCCACCTCTACAAAAATGTCTCTGGTGTTAACTACACTTCATAAACCACCGTTAAATTTGCTCTGCCAATGACAGCCAAGAGATGGACAGAGCCTTAATTATGTTCCAAATGAACTGATATTATAAAAAGGAAGTCTTGTAGAAAGAACAAATACAGTTCACCAAAGTTTTTACCATCATATTAGCTGAGTCAAATCATATTAGCGAGGAAGTTAACAAACAGCTTAAGTCAAAGGGAGTGTGATCGAAACAAACATGTTCTCTTGGGTAAGATTATTTTTCTTTAGCTACTGAGCTCTTCAGCAGAAATGTGATGTTGTGACGGTTTGTGTTATTGTTCACTGGTGCAAAGGAAATATGCTCTGTTCTTTCAACAGTGGTTTGTGTTGTGTGCTAACCGGCTAACTAGCAAAAAGACAGTCTTCCTGTTCTCCTTTTTGAGTGATGATTACAGAATACTGCTGTCTGCTGGTATGGTGTCATGCAGGCGCAGAACAGACGTGCTGGTTGGCCGTCAGCAATAGTCTTTGCAGTGTGTTCACATGCAACTTTTGGCCAAGACACAGATGATGTGAGGTAACGCAACAGTCTGCTTTTCTTTGCCGCTAGTTCTCTGAAGTTGCCTTTAAAGGTGCAATATACGATGTTCAGAGTCTGGGGTCCAATTGTCTGCTAATGGCTATGATGTCACATGCAAACTGGAGGGGGCTGAGCCGGAATGGCCATTTCAGCTGACAGCATTGACAGTGCTATCAGCATTGCTAGGGCATTATGAAATCCAATTTTTTTCCACAAGTTCTTTGTTTTACAATTCAAGCACATTCAGTCTACAGAAAGAGTGTCTAATCGTGGTAAATTCAAAATTTCAACAATTCGACAGGAAAATGTAATAAATATCAATGACTTTGATATTACAACATTGCACTCACATTGCATTTTTTTTTAAATCAAAGAAAGTGCTTCAATATTTTTTAAAATAAAACACTCTATCCTTTTGCGTCATATTCCTCTGCTCTAAATATAACTGTCAGTGTAGTTTTTCGGATGACTGAGCTGTCTCAGAGGGCCTCTTCCAAATGTCTGCAGGGTCCAATGATAACATTCATTGTCAGGATTTTTTTTCCAGCAACCCAACTTAATTAAGTAATCTCCCTCACAATTTAGAGGGATTTCTTAATTCATAAAGCAAGCAGGTAATGTTTTTTTTTATACTTCCAGTGACCATAACCTAATTAACCTTATTTCCAAATATGTTCTGTATCTACACTGTGGTAACACCTTATTTTTAAAGCCTATGTAGTCATGTGTGTATCCTGTGCCATTTAATGCATTTACAGGTCAGAATACGGGTGCCAATCCAACTTTAGCAGCATGGTTTGACCACTGAGATGTGAGTGACGGTTGGCTTGTTACAGAAACATCAAACACTGCCTCTTCAAACACTGACTCGAGATGCACAGGACAGGGTTTGACCCATTCTGGTCAAGGTCAAGCTAACGTTAGCCGTTGCTCACATCTCTGTGGTCAAACCAGCTGTTGTCAAAGTTGGAAACAACACAGGCAAAGCAGAGAGAAGTTTCGGTGAGCAGCCCAGAGGTAGTAATGTCACTCGCTAAGCAAGGTCAGAAAATTACTTAAGTTGAATGTTTTGGGATTTTTTTTAACTCTTTGAGCACTGGCCCAAACAATTGGTTGATTGCCCTATGTATCTGGCCCTGGTGTGTGTGCCCTCAAGGACTCCATTACTCTACTATATCTTCACGTATCAAATAATGGTTTTCTGCTATTATTGTTCTGAATGTCTAGTACTGCACCTTTAAGGTTTCAGATTTTTCTATCTTGAGTAAGAAGATATAATTACTCACCTAAGATTCCAGTTCCCAGTATTGTTGCAATGGTCAAGAAATCTAGGTACACAAACAGAGCTTTGTCAGATCAATCAGAAAGTCACAAAATTCACACCTACAAATACAAGAAAAAAAAGTCAACAGGTTCTTCTCATAATAAGTATTAAAAAAATAAAAAACTAAATTTTCCCCTCAAACAAATAATAAGACCCTCAACATCAACCAATGGCTGAATCTCCTTGTAGAACATATTTAGCTGGAGAAAATATCTGCTGGCCACAGAAACCAATTAACATACTTTACAGAAAAATGGTCACCATTTATTCACTCACTAAACGTGTCTGTATAGTGCCACTCAGCCTGTGAGCATATGCCACCTGTACATATAAATATTACAACTCAAGAAAGACTGTTGTGTAATATGTAACGTGTTTCTGTTAATGATGTAACCCCTAATCCCTTGATCTCTCTCACCACAATACACCACAGCGGTTCATCAGAACTCAAGGTCTTAAGCATGTGTTAGGTGCACCTTCTTCCCCTTGAATCCGGGCCTGCTCCCTGGCTCTGTGG